ATTGAGAGTATATATTCAACTGTTGTACTGATAATATATAATATTCTGACAATTTTCTTAACAGAGATAAGAATGAAGTGAAAGTTCAACTCAAGCTGAGATATTTATCACTATTACTGAGAACAATTATAAGAAGAAATAATTAAGAAACTCATGATTGTAAAATATGAAATTATCAGATAGTTTAATATCTCTGATCACAGTATATCAGAGAAGTGTAGTTTTTATGAAAAAGTAAAGAATAAACTTACATAAGAATGTATTTAGTTATTTCATAAGTATTATCAATAATTATTATTAAATTCTGATTATATAAGTAATCACTGAATGAACTGAATAGAACTGAATTTGATCTTCAGTCTCAGTCTTATTCTGATTTTGAAAGAATGATCATCTTTCATAGTTTATTCTGAGAAATTACTCTCATTTCACTGTTCTTGAATTAAATCTAGTTATTTTTCACACTATTTCTCTCAGAAATGATTCATTTTCAGATTTTTTTGAGACTTGATTCTGATGGGACTCACATCAAGAAATGTATGAAATCAGATTAAATGAGATTAAATGTGAAATTCATGATCTCATCAGCCAGTCTAGTTCTTAGTCAGTGAAGAAAAACTTATTCAGATATATCTTAACAAATGATCTTTGATAATCTTGTAGATTGTTGAGAAAAAGATTATAATATATATCTTCAGTACTCTGACAGAGCTCTTTGTAATAGATAATAAGATAGCAGAAACATCTCTGAAAAATAAGATAATAATCATTCTTAACTTATAATCTTATTAACTACTTGAAGATGTTCACATGTTCTTCAGTCATTGATATTATATATTCAACATTGATCTTGTCTTATAGAGCTGCAGTATTATCAGCTTCTAAGATTTCAATAGTAGTTCAAACATTCTTAACAAGGCTTGACAGTATATATCTATATAGAGACTTGAAACAGATCTTTCACTTCTCAGAATTGATATAATATATAGAAGAGAATTCTTATTAAGTTTTCAATAGAATATTAGTTTCATTAATAACTTCTGTATCAGTCAATATATTAACACATCAGACTTTATAATAAGAGCTATTAAATATAAGCACTGATTTAATGTCTAGAGTATATTTGACTTTTTTCTGATATTTCTGTAACTCATCTCTTATAGTATCTCTTTATACAGAAACAGGTGTAGTGAGATGTTATGTAATTTTAACCGCAGTCAGTTGATTTCAGAGCATTATCTGTATAAGATTCATAAGATTGCCTGCAGTGTAATAGACAGGTTAATTCAGATCATCATTAAAAGTTAGCATTTCAGAGATGAAAAATGATGAAGAATTTATTAAATTGAAATAAACATATTCTGTAGATGAATATTAACTGTACTTTTCTTTATTCTGAAGCTCTTTTATTATCTCATTATTAAATTTCATACTCTGGTAAAAACTGATCTCAATCTCATCTTGCAACTCACAAACCTTCTCATAATAAGTGATTATTCTATCAATAAGTTATCTAGTAGAGTAGGTGATTCCGAACCTTGAGCTGAACTCTAATGTAACAGATGTATCACTTATATTGAGATAACTCTGCTTCTCTTAGATATGTAAAAAAAGATAATATTGTTCTGTGATTCGGAAGAACGTACAACTGCTGGATAATAACGCGGCCGCTTCCGAACACGCTTACGAATGTAAAGGGGCCCTAGCGGCCACTAATTAAGTTAGATAATGTATATAAGAAGCCAGTGTACGCCTGTAATCATATACTGACTCAAGAAACCTTTGAATCACATCTGATAACATATCTAAAAACTGATGAGAAGCACAGACTTCTTCAGAGCATGATAATTTCATCTACAAAGTGATTCATAGTTATTATATCAGTGTGATTCTAAAATATCTCAAAAGATAGTATATAAAGAAGTAATGAGTGAAAGAGCATCTGATTGATACTGCTTTACTTATTGAAGAAAAACTTCACACTTAGATGAATGTCATGTATATGAATAAATAAGGTGTAAGAAAGAGAATATAAGTGATGAATCAGATTTAAAGAAGATTACTCTCTATTTAACAGAATAAAAGAGAGATAACTGAAGTTGTATAATAATAACAGAAATCATATAACTATATAGTGAAATAATAATATAGTGATATAATAATATAGTAATATAATAATAGACATTGTATAATTAACAAGAAATCACTGAAATGAATATTTTCTCTAATTAATATAAATAATACTCTTCTCTGCTATCTGAACTGAAAGATATGCAGAATCTCTTAGAGAGTTTACTTAAAGTAGTAAGAAAAGCAGCTGAGACTGCTGAACTGAAATCAAAGCTCTGTATATATACAAGAATTCTAAATGAGATTGAGGTCTTGTGTACACAGCGACAGACTGAGACAGAAGTTAAATAACAATTGACATTCACTGTG